GCGGCCGGCCGCGGCCCTTCCCTGCCCCGGGCCAGGCCTAACGCGTTTCCTTTCCAGTAGCTGGTGTCCTGGCGCTCGCTGGCGGCCACCTTCGTGCTCTGCGGGGGCCTGCTCGTGGCCATGAAGAAGATGAAGAAGATGAAGGAGGAAAGTGAGTGTTGGCCGGGCCCCGCGGCCTCCCCACAGCCCGTCCCGGCATCACCCWGGGCCCCGCTCTGTGGTCCGGGACTCCCCTCTTCCCTTCCAAACCCTTCCCTTTTGTGTCAAGCAGAAAAAAAAAAATGTCGCCTTATTTTCAGTTTTGCTGTCATTCTGTAGCTGAATGTGAAATAATTCGAATCATGACTTACACTGTGTTTTATCTGAGTGGTGTGTGCATAAATGGTTATACTGCAGAAAACTTGAAAATGAGGTGTTGTAAAACCCCCAAAWACACTTTTCCTGTTGAAATGGTTACACTTATATTTGCTGTTACGAGTAAACGTGGTTGGATCAATGCAAAAGCTGGAAAGGAGAAACCTCTTTGCAATCGTGGGACACGCATCTGTGGGTAGCATTTTCCAAGCACCTTGATTTCTATATATGTTATCGCTGTGTGTGTCCACTCATTCTGCAGTGACTGCTTACTGACTTAATTTTCAATTTTTTCAGACAGAAACTCGAGAGATAGCATAGTTGCTCTCATRTGTTGAATTTATAAAGGTGCCCTTGTTTGTTTGTTTAAAGCCAGCCCAGGCCATGTACTTTTCTGTCTTGAAAAAGAAAAAAATGAAAGATGTGTTTGCATGGCAGTGAAAGAGATTTACGTTTCAAAGGAATTCAGTGGTGTATGTGATAGAGGAATTTGCTCAAAATCAAATGCTCTACTTCGAAGTCTTCTTCATGTTGGACTTTACAGTGACTATTGGTAGATCTTTATGTTTCAAGCTGTTGTTAAATGAGTTTSAAACATGACGGGGAAGGGATAAGTACATGTCCTGGACCTATATAATCTCCATTTGTTTCCTTTAGAGCTGGAGAAAGAACGGAACCGAGGTATTGGGAAACCACTCCTGGGAGGGCCCTTCTCACTTGTAAATCATGAGGGACAGCCCAAGACCAACAAGGACTACATTGGCCAGTGGGTGCTCATCTACTTTGGCTTCACCCATTGCCCTGATATCTGTCCTGATGAACTGGAGAAAATGATTGAAGTAGTAGAAGAAATTGGTATGTGAATTTGGGTGGTATGGAGGTTATTTTTAGAGACATCAAAATTGGTTTTGAAATGCCAGGTATGATGGTAAGTGGTGATATTGTGAAAAAATAGTATTAATTACTACTCAATATCTGAGTTGAGGAAAGGCTGAGAGAGCTGGGATTGTTTAGCCCAAAGAAGGGGGCTTAGGGGAGGATCGTGTGTATATATATATATATACATATATACATATATATATATATGGAGAATATGAAGAAGATGGAGCCAGGCTTCTTTTAGGGGTGCCCAGTGACAGTAGCATGAGGCCGTGGGCATGAACTGAATTGCAGAAAGTTCTGTCTTCTTTTTTTAATCACTATGAAGGTGACAGCATTTAGAACAAGTTGCCCTAAAAGTTTGTAGAATCTCCATCCTTGGAATTACTTATCTGCACACAATCCTAGGTTACCTGGATGAGCTAGGGAGARTGGATTTAATGATTTCTAGAGGTCCTTTCCACCCTCAGCAATTTTGCAAATCGTCTGATAGATGATGCCTGCATTAACCTGTTCCCAACTTGGTGGAATGTCAGTGAGATCTGATGTTTAAAACATGATGAAGCTGACCTTTCTGCAACTGGGAACTTTTCAGTAACATAGTGCAAGAGAGAACAGTGCCATCACAGAGTAAATATTTTTGCCAAGAGATGTTGTTTCTATTGCTTGTGCTCTCTCACTTGTTCTCTCTTGCATTCATTCACTGCTTGTTCTCTCTCACTTGTTCTCTCTTGCATTCATTCACTGCTTGTTCTCTCTCACTTGTTCTCTCTTGCATTCATTCATTGAGTGTGTGTTTCTTTGCAAAAATACTTGCCTATTCCAGGGAAAAAGCAGTCTGCCCAATGTTGATATAATAGGAAGTAAAGGCAATAGAGCAACAGCACTGAATTTAATTGGGCTTAGCCTAGTCACATATTGTCAGTCCCCATGGTTCAATCTCCTGAAAGACTTTTCTAGCTTTTTATCTTTACTTTGAACCTCTGTGTGAGACTAAACATTCATCTTGGTCTCCTTTGAGTATTTTCCCTTGTTTTCAGGAATACTGTAATACCCTTTATTACTTCTGAGAATCACTGTATTTTGGTGCAAATGGTTTTCTTGGACTGCAGAGTTGCAGAACAGGAATAATAGCAGCCAAGCAGGTAGAAGAATGAACTCTAATACTGAAAATATAATGCAGGAAGCAGGGGTGTGGAGGATATGACTGGAACATGAGGAAATGATCCTGGACTATGTCTCTACCTTTCTACCCGTTCCACCCTCCCTGGCATGATTTAATTGTAGCCACCATCAAGCTTTGATCTGTGGATTATGCCTTGGCATTTCCTGCATGAGAGCCAGTTTTTAGCTTCTCACGAGTATGACAGGGTGTCCCAGAGACTAAGAGAGAAGTGCAATAGTGTTGGATTTTGTGTCCCTGACTTCCCTCAGAACTTGCAATAACATTTGTTAATTTTTCTTATCACAGATGGAATTCCATCTTTGCCAAATTTGACCCCACTCTTCATCACCATTGATCCTGAAAGGGACAGTGAAGAAGCTATGGCCAGATATGTTAAAGGTATTAAGTTTTATTTTTTTCTTTCTTTCTTGTTGTCTTATAACACGTAATATAGAGTATTGAAAAGGAAGATCTTGATAGGATTTTTTTCACTAAAATGTGTAAAATGTCTAAATGTCTTCTTCCCATATAGAATTTTCTCCTAAACTGATTGGATTGACGGGCACCAAAGAGCAGATTGGGCAAGTGGCCAAAGCCTACCGTGTATATTACAGTGAAGGTCCCAAAGATGAAGACAATGATTACATAGTAAGTAAATATAGGGTAGTTGCCTGATARTAGGCTCTGGATAAAGTGGGTTATAGATTTTGAACTGGAAGGCAACTGTTACAATATGTGCCGGAGTCCTATCTGACAGAGTCATGTTAAATCTGTATGTTTAAATTTTGTCTCAGYGATCTCAGTTAGAATGTTGTTCTATGCCATTTTCCCATATTTCTCAAAGTGAAAATGTAACTGTGGAATTAAGGTAATAGACAAGATCTTATGAAATGAAAAGAGAGTGAGTAGCAAATCATCTCATGCCAAACTGAGGCCAGTAAGTTACTAACCAGTAATCAGGACTGTATTTAATAGAGCTGACATAATCTGAGCAGGCAACTTTTTTTTTTCCTTTTTTTTTTTTTTTTAGTTTGCAGCTGAAAAAAAAAACCCAGCAGGATCTGAATTGTGATTTAATCTTTCAAAAACTGTAGCTCCTGGTAGTTGATTTTTGTGATCATATCTTGAATATTTAAAAGTCTAAAGGAAAATAATTGCCRTAAGCCTATAAAAATATTTGCCTTAAACCTACTTCAATAAAAATACTAAGAAAAAAAATTTTCTGTGACTACAGAAATGAACTTAACATAATTTAGCTTCTAACGATTTAGATGTTAATGTGTTTTCTTAAATGCAAAGGCAGACYGACTTTCACTAACAGCTTTTTCTCCAGTGGGCCTAAGATTATGTATTGAAGGAAGCACTTGATGCTTTATGGCTTCAGTTTTCAGTATATTGTGTCTTTGCTCTTAGGAAATGTCATCATAGTTAGGTATAGATCATGCCTGCAGTGGCATTTTTTAAAAATACTAACAATAATAATTAAAAAATGCTTACAATTAAATTAGTTTCATATAAATCAGCTTAATTTTCCAGATAGAAATATTTCTGGCATTCAAAATACTGTTATTTAGATTCTTTCTGATTCTTTTCAGTTATCACCCYTGATTCCACTGTGGTTTCTGTAAATGCAAATAAGCAGACAGCAGAGGGAGCCCCTTCCCAGGACACTGCATTGCCGCCTTTGCTGCATTCTGTATCCACAGCTTTCGCCACCCAGTGGTGTTCTTAGACCTCTGTTTGCTTTGACAGGATATTTGATTTAATGAAATACCTTAATTTCTGTAGGATTTGCATYATACTTACATCAGAAGCTTGAATACCTTGGGAGTTAAAAAGGATAGGGAGAGTCTGAGGAAAACTGTGAAAAGTGAGGGGGAAAGTATCTTAAATTTTATCTTCCTCACACCATCCTCAGTCCCATCTGTGCTGAGGGGAGGATGCGTACAGCTCAGAAAAGACCCTTCTCCTTTCAGTGTTCTTTCACACATCTTGAATATACTATTTTTTTCTTTTTTTTTTGAGGGACTTGGTGGGATGGTGTAAAACAATGCCTGAGATGTTGCTAAATTGTTCCCCAGCTGGATTTAGCCWACCCCATTTAGCCAAATGGGGTACTGTTGCTGCAGAGTTTGGGAGATATGTGGGATGTTTTACCATGCAGTTGTGTGCTCTCTTGCAGGTGGATCACACAATCATAATGTATCTCCTTGGACCAGATGGTGAATTTGTGGACTATTACGGCCAGAATAAGAGGAGTGCTGAGATTTCTGCTTCTATTGCTGCACACATGAGAAAATACAGATCGTAAACGCGAAGATTTTTCAAAGACTGATGCAAACATCYGCTGTAGGCTTGGCTGTAATTGTGTATTGTGTCCAGTGGAGTTACCATTATTAAAAACTGGTAAAACAGCCCGAATGTCATTTGCAGCAAGATTTCAGCCGTGAGATGAAGCTTGGGACTGTTGTGAAACATTTGTTGGGAACAAAAAATGGAAAACACTTTTCATTTGGAAGGGACTCTGTATCACTGGTAGAATTACTTTGAATCTTTTGGGCAAATATCGGAGAAGGATGTTGGCCATAGGAAGGTGATTACTTGATGAAAAGCCATGTAAGCCATGGCATCCTCAGAGGAGCCCTGCTGCTCTTCTTATTTCTGCACTATATTGCCTGCTGGCAGAGGCACTGTAGCAGAAAGCCTTAAGAGTGCTCCTTTATTTAGGTTCAGAAGATGGAGAGCACTGAAATCATTAGCAGCTTGCACATATGGGACTAGCCCTGTAATCTGCTTAATCTTCCCAATTTGAATACAGAAGTGAAAAATTTCTTTGACAATTTTCCCCTTTATTAATTTAGTTGTAAAGGAAAAGAATATTGGAATGCAAGTATGTTTTTCTACTGGTCTAAATGGTTTTGACTGTACTCTGAGCCTGACTTGTGCTAYGCTGAATAGTGAAGTGATCGGGATAAAGAGGGTCTGTTTCCATGCATAGGGCTGTCAATCAGATAAATTTAATGCAATGCTGCATTTGAAAATAAAAGATTACTTTGTACAATTGCTTTGTTCCTTTTTATGTTTTGCAGGAATTGCCATCTAGGAGATGAGAGTCAATGTAGACAAACCACAATGTTTGTGGTACAATATGAGGTCTTCAAGTAATGATCTTCTAACAGGGACAATGTGCAGAGGAGAGAGTCCAGACTGTCATCCCTTTCAGTTGTATTAGAGTTTATGCAAAATGGTCTCAATTTTAGAATGATTGTGGAGGTGTATTTTCTTTTTATATCTTGAGTTGATTGGTAATAGAATATTATTAGTTTACACACTCATTAAACTTCATTTTTAKTTTTTTTTAATTCCTCTGCAAAAAGTTGTGCTGATCTGTTTTAGAAATATTTGCAGATACTTTKAACACATGTTTTTATAATGTTTCAGACAGAGCTGAACCATAGATACTTAGCGTAGAAAAGAACCATCTTAGCTCTCTGTCCTGTGTGAGGGTCCAAGTCAATTGCTGATTTATTCTCCAGTTCCGAGAGTCAGAACTGGAGCTAGAAAGAGAACATAAGCTACAGGGTATAGACAGTTGTATAGACAGACAGAAAAACAGTTGTAAATATGAATGACCTGACAAAGCTGTAATTAGAAAGCAGTTTTCTGAATGTTTTATCTCCCAAGGACATATAATTGCACATTCTCTTTCTACAGAATGAAGAAGACAGGAAGAACATTATTAGGTTGCAAGATCTGGCAGGTAAACTGCAGATCAAAGTCCTGTCCTACAAAAGATAAGAATGCTGTGAGTCACTGAACTGAAGCAAATACTTAAGAGTTTTCTAGGACTGCCATTTCTAATCTTGTCTCTGTGCCTCTGCATGTTACTAGCTGATTTTAATTCCTTTTGTTCTGTAATTTCAGAATGGACAAGCTTATTCTCATGTCTACAAATTCAGCAAAATACAGGATGAGCTAGAAGAGGCTGAGGAACATGTAGATATTGCAGAGACTCAATTCAAAAGCTCAGATCCAATAACTTCTTTCTACCAAGGTAAGCCTTCAAAGCAGGAGGCAGGTGTGCAGCTTACTTTGAATTGCTCAAGCAAGTCCACCAATAGATATATGTTTCATAGATATTGCTGTCTTGCAGGAAAGACTGCTCTAGAAGGAGAAGACTTCTGCATTTCAGAAACTGGTGTTGAATACTTCCTTCCAGCTACTGTCGGAAGGACTGATGACAGCTACTGTCATCACAGCACTTTTGACGGTGAAGAGACTTCACTGACAAAAGCTCATCTTGGAGGAGGAGATCCTGGGAAAACTGCACTGCATTTTACCTTTCACAATCTCTCCCCTCTGGGCTGCAGACTTCTTTAGCTTACACTTTTATAGATTCTCATTTTAAATTCGCTTCCCTCCTGTGCGCTAGGCCTCTTTCTTTTTGTCCAACTAGCTGTGGATAGGAAGAACTTCTTTTTCTCCCATCCTGCTTCCTACCTGTTGAACCCTTTGACTCTCTAGGAATATGGTGAGGCAAGTCTAGTGTAGATGTGGTTCTGATTGTCAGCCTTAGGCAGAATTTATGTTCTGATCTAAAGTAGTCTGAGTGTGCATCAGCGCTGTATCCTTAGCTCAGCTCCCCTGGCAGTTGTCTGTCTCCATTCCTAGACTGATACTAACCAGTCTAGGAGTGAAAATAGCTGAATACCAGTATTGGTTCTRCAACTTTGAGTGAGCTACTTGGCCACATTCCACTAGGCAGACCTGGCAATCCTAGGAAAAATGTGTCTCTAAGGGGATGTGGCTTTGGCAAGATAACCACCAACTTCACCTCGCCATCCGCCTTCCGCAGGTAAAGGAATTCTTTCTCACTCCAAAGTACTTGGTGAACTCCTATTCTACTTCTCTTCTGGCCTCAGGCTTTGACTCAGACTCACTGCGGATTTGGCAGAATAACAGGCAAATGAAGCCACCTGGCCTGTTTKGCGCAGAGTGATGGTTCAGTGCAGAGTCCCGGCTGCTGGCAACATAAACAGAGCCTCTGAGGAAAATGCAGGGTAACTGTAGCTAACATGCCCACTACACAGCTTGCTATCACACTACCGCTGGAAAGAAGCTTTGAACAAATTTATTTAAGATCCTAACTGAGGCTCCTGGCAAGGCTGCATTGTACAAACACTGCAGAAACCTAAGCGGCCTCATAYGGATCAAACCTTTCCCTTATAGTCAGCCAGATCTTAAGGCAAACTCTTCAGGAGGGGCTTTTCACACCACCTACACTCAGTTGCACTTGCTGGTGAWAATGCCTGGGGTGGGCAAAGCGAGTATGGGGGTGCTTTGTAAAGCTAGGCTTCTGGAGGCTTATTGGAATAGTCAACTTGGCTCTTTAGGTGGTGGAAAAAATAACCCACATATCAATGAATAATTGTGCCTCAGCTCTGTCAATTGAATCAAGTGAATTTTCAGCTGCAGAAATTTTAAAAATGGATAGAAACAGGTCAAGAAGTTGCAACTGTGCCAAGGGGTGTTTTGACAGGAGCTCACATTTCACGTCCAATAGCAAGACTTTAAGATACTTAATACATAGTCACCATTTTGACCACTTGTTTTTGCCTGATGTGCCCTGGCTGTGCATTGGCCCATGTGAGCGTGAAGCACTAAGGGAGACTGACTCAGCATCAAATAGGCAGCAGCAGGATCCAAGCTCAGGGACAGGTGCCTGCCCTCAGGGGGGACTCACTGTAAGTGCAGCTGGACAGTGTTTGTGGCCTGACCTTGTGTCCCCAGCAAACTAACAGATCCTGGGCTGTGAGATCCCAGCAAATCACTCAACAGCTTCCTGGAGCCCACGCTTGGGAGGAATAAGCCCCTCCTGGCACCTAGGGGTACAACATCCAATTGATGGGGACTTCACAAGTAAAGAATCTGTCCCCAGGAGGGGAGACAAGGCAGCGGGGGCTGCCCCTGCCAGGAGGGTCTCTCAATCACTCGTCTCCCTTCATCCTCAGAGTCATAGTCAAAAATAGCTGCCTCTTGCAAGACTCCTGAGCCGGGACATGCCTCTTGCTGTAGTTGATAYGCTTCCACTAATAGCTCTCAAAGACATTCCTCAGAGGGTAGGTTGCCATCTATATCCCACTGCAACGTGTTGTCCTGTYGGAGTGGGACAACTGTGTTGAGCCCTAAGATGGCAGTTGCTATTCTYATCTCAGAAAGATTTGCYCAGGCACAGCTCCTTTTTCCTGAAAAATGTTAAAATTCAGCTGTGTGCTGTGCTCTCACTTGYGAGAACATAAAAGAAGTGATGCCTGTAAAGTGACACTGCGCAAACCCAGCACCAGGGCTTGCACCATGCTCTCCTGGGACCATTGTCATGGTCATTTGATCCCAGCTTTGATTCCCACTTGCAGATTGGTTTGGGGTGGGGGTGCATCGTTTTTCTTGAATATTGGCAAATGGAAAAAAAAAAAAGTTGTTTTGTGGCCCTGAACCCCTTTTGCTGATCAGAAGGAGGGTCCTGGTTCATGAGTCCTGCATGAGAAAGAACTATTAGTTACTCCAAGCTTCCTCTAGTCCAGCTTGTAGGAACAGGCTGTAGAAAGCTGCTTTCCTTTGCTGGTCCAGCCAGTGCAGAGGCAGCCCTTGAAGGTCTTCAGATGAAATGCAAAATTGGGGATCCAGTGCATTAGGTGTAATGAGAGCAAGCAACTTGRAAGATGTGTTTGGGGAAGGAGAATTGAGAAAAATCTGAGGGCATTTTTTGGGAAACTACTATCATTTGAAACTGGCAATCTGATTTTAAATCCACCTTGACAGAGCTTTTTAAAGCTTAATTTTAAATTTGAAGAAATGACTCATTATTTTTAGTCTGTAAAGTAAAAATATGTTGCTTTGTTAACACAGCTCRCAGTGCAAAATTCACTTACAATCATGCAGTGCATTATGTGGTGCTGGCGGCGCTGCTGAGAAGGAGACATCCCCAGGCATTTTTTCAAACTCAGGAGCACAAAATATATKGGGAGGGAGCTATGAAAAGTCAGATTAACTCCTTGGCTTTCCAGAGGAAACTGCCTAATAAGTGTAATAGCTGCAGGGACTACTGTCCGCTGCTGGAGTGTGGAAGCTGCCATACAGTACAACACCTCAGGTCTCCCTGTGTACTCCTAGAGCAGGGAAAGAAGCCTAGATTGTGATCMACTGGCCAAGGCAGCTACTGTTGTAGCTGCCCCACTGGATGGGGATGTGCAGAATGGCCCAAGTTGGGTGCTGCTCGTGGTCCTATGACTCTCGCTACAGGGACCTGGACTTGTTGGTGTGTGAGCCTTGCTCATGGCTACTTCCTATGCATGCATTTTTGGAAGTTGAATCTGTAAAGGAGAAAGAAAAAGAAAATAAAAGATACAGGAAGAGATGAGAGCAGGGACTGAGCAGCACTGAGTGCCATTAGTCACTCCTCCTGAGAAGGAGAGTGTAGTTGTGTAACAGAGAAAGAACCGAATTAGCAGGTCTGCCCTGGGTCTGTGGCCGGGCAGAATGGTGCACACAGTGTGCTCAGAGGCTAGAGGCTGGGAATAAGAACTCTCTGATGGCCGTCACTGTAAAGCCTGCTGGATTATCAGGATCAAAGTGGAACACTGATGTGAGGGAAATGGAACATGAATCTCATTGCTTTGTGRGGAATGAGAGTCATTTTGTGTGGATACTCTATTTGTGGAAACAGGCTGCTTGTCACCTGATAGGTGCTGGTGCAAAGGTCTTGAGAAAAACATCAGTCCATAGTGGCCATAAACAAACATCTCTCAGGGAAAGTTTAAAATAGATGCATCTGATGGGATCATATACAGCTTCTATTCTATATGCACTGCAAGGGATCTCTTGAACTSAACAGCAGCAGTCCAAGAACAGCAGTTCAAATGGTAGAAAACATTTCCCCTTCTAAGACTGTCAGTAAAGCCAAATTCAACAGTTCACCCCATGTGTTCCTGCCGTACACCATGGGAAATCAGCTCGCAATGGAGCCTTGCTATTAGGATTTCATGGCAGTGTCCAC